GTGCACATACTGCAGTAACAGGGAGCTGGTGAGAATGTAGCATCATTCTTCTCTACAGTATGACTTAATAATATCGCTTGAAAAGTTTGCAGTTCTATAGGTTGGACTTGGATGCAACTACTAGTAAGTTTGGTGTGTGTGTGTATTCACCCACTAGTGTATGTAAGGCAAACACTCTATTTTGACTGGACTGTATTCTATAAATATAGAAGTTTATAATTATTGTTTAAGATAGATTCTCATTATGTAGCTCAAGCTGGCCTTGAACTTGCAATCCTCAAGTTCCTGAGTGCTGAGAGAGTTTGTTCTCTCCTTCTGCCACGTGGGTCCTAGGGATGTTTCTTCGTTGTAGAGCTTGAGAGCAAATGCCTTTATCTGCTGAGTCATCTTTCTGACCCTTAAAAAGCTTTTAAAGCAAACTGCCAAGAAAGGTTTCAGGTACTTTAAAGAAAATATGTAAACTATTTTCAAGAATTTCAAAGATTTTCCTTGGTTGGTTGTTTTGAGATGGTGTCTCACTACAGGGTCCTGACTAGCCTTGAACTTATGAGTCCAATTGATTCCCTGCTTTAGGTTCCCAAGTAGCTCAGACTACAGCCATGTGCCACAGTGCTTGGCTCATTATACTACTATGCCTGGCTTTCAAAGTATTGTTTTCTGAAACTACCCTCTGTGGACATACAAACATCTAAAGGGTTCTTTTGTTTTAGATACCATATATGATAAAAAGTATTCCAGCCAGGTGAGGTAATGTACATCTGTAAGCCAGTGTTCAGGAGGTTTCATAAGGAGGATTATGTCAGAGGCTAGCCTGGTCAACATAGGGACTACGGATAAATTCAGTAGTAAAGAGTGTGCCTAGCAATATGCAAGTCTCTGAGTTTGATCTCCAACTACGCCCTCCAGAAGTATTCCATAACTCCTATTGGCATTTTCTAATTTAATAAAAATTCAAAGCCAGAGCCAGAGAAATGGTTTACCTGGTAAAGGTGCCAGTTGCCAAACTCAGGTTGTACCTGAGTTTAATCCCCAGGACATGCATGGTGGAAAGAGAGAACCAACTCCTGCAGGTTGACCTCTGACCTCTGCTTATGTTCCATGGCATGTTCCTCCCAGCCCCATCCCACCCCCCACACAAATAAATACAATTTTAAAAAGAAAAAAATTCAAGCCACTCATGGCTGCACCCTCCTATAGAGTCAGAACTCAGGAGGCTGAGTAAATAAGATGCTGAGTTTAAGATCAGCCTGGATAGCCTAATGAGACCTTGCCTCCAAATAAAAATTTATTGACAGTTATTATTATATGGTATCCATATGTTAATGTTATAAAAGGAAGTTTAACGATTCCAACAAGATACCTGAACCTCAGCGTGAGTCATCTTTGCCTTCCTCAGCAACCTACCATTTAGTCCCACAGGGACCCAATTGTCTTGCTAAGGCAGTTTTCCTTTTCATGGCATGCCTTTCAATTTTTTGTTATAATTAACCTTATCTCTTTGTATAACATTGCAAAAATAATTGCAATGTGCTTCTGTCCTATAGTGAAGAAACAGGTGCAAGAGTTCTATATTTGAGTGAGGCCAGATATAGAAGGGACTAAATATGAGCCTGTTGAGTTGGTGATTGTGTGGACTAGTTTAGGGAAGATAGTATTGAGAAAAAAATCTCTTGCACAGATGGGCTGCAGTGGTAATGAGTTAAGAAGTCACTGGTAACATATAACACTGAATATTGTAAGTTGGATACAAATTCAACGTGTTTTAAAGATTTTTCTTTATTTTATATGTATGGGTGTTTGTCTGCGTGTATATATGGCCAAAAGAGGATGTCAGATCCTTTGGAACTGGGGTTGCAGCCGTCGTGTGGTGCTGGGTGCTGAAAACCAAACCTGGCTCTTCTGCAAGACTAGATGGTGCTTTTACCCTGTGTGGAAGAAGGAAGACTTCCTGAATAATACTGAGGGCAAGGCCGAATAACAAGAGGAGACTATGGCAGGCCTGTGGGCCATGTCCTGTCTGTCTCTAACCATGAAACAGTTCTAGGTGTCCCCATCCTCATGCTGTCAGCCCCTCAGGACTGTCCCAAGGAAGACCTCATCACAATTGCCCACTGCAGTTGCTGAATGCAGCAAGGAATGCATCTGGGTCTCTGAAAGCCACCCGCTCTCCTCCTCATGTCTCCTTTTTTAGCTGTACTATCTAGGATGTCGGTGGATTTCTCCTGGAACTCTAGTGAAATCCTTGTTGATCTAGAACTTGCTTTCCCATTATCCCCATAAACCCGGTGTTCTACACAAGGGATGCAAGGCCATGTTCAATGTCATTCATGCTGGCAATAAGAAACCCCACCACAGACTGACTGGAGGGGATGCACATTCTTCTAGCTCTTCTACAAACGCTGGCTCTGCCTAGACATGAAGTTTCACAGACTGCATAGGCATGCACTGTTGATCTTAAATGAGGCATGCACTTTATTTCCTAGAGAACCCAGAGATGTTGGTTGGGTCAAGCATTTCTAACCCCATGAAATTGGGTCGGCAACTAGGAGTGGTGAGGGAATGAAGGTGTGACAGACACACAGACATACATACAGAACAGCTGGGATCAGGTGGCTGTGCCTGCTCTAATGGGCCCTCATTGGGGGAGGACTTAGCTGGTCCCCTTAGAAGGTTTTTGTAGTGGAGCAGCCTCTCGGGCAGTAGATGTGCAGAAGGATGAAGCTGCAGTTGCTAGTTTTCAACACACTGATCAATTGTTCATAAACACTCCTACTTGGAGGAGAGGAACCTGGGATGGGTCTGATTCTTTGGTCCTTGGCATGGCAGGCTCTTGTCAAACAATGCACACTCACTCAGAACTTCTGTAGCTCAGGATAGAACTTGTCCCCTACAGCCAAGCAACTATTGAAGAGAAACACCAAGGAACTATGAAGTACACATTACCAGTCTCTGCAAATACAGCAGGAAGCAGATCCAGATGTGACAGGGTGTCTGGGAGCTCTGAGGTGTAGATGTGGAAAATAAATAGAAAACGAAATGACATTGATCTCTTTCTCACATGCTTGCCTACAGGAAGTGGGCTGGAACACTGACTGGGTTTGGCTGGTGGATCTCCTTCCTGTCCTGGGAGAGAGGAGGGATGTGTGAGTAGTCAGCCTGTGCTGTGGCAGTCCTCCGGGTTGCCTGTGGTTCTGGGCTCTGGTGGGCTGAGCTTCTTAGGCCTTGGAGGACAGCATGTGCCATGCTATAAGGCTGCTGTACGTTAGAGGAAGAGCCCTGAAAACAGGCAGGCAGAGTCATTCCAGCATGTAGACCCTTGAAACAGTGTAGTCAAGTGCAAAATAAATGTTTGGAAAAACTAACTAGACACAGCTGGATTTCAACCCCGAGATCTCGTGGCTGATGAGTCAATATCATTGAACATTTGGAACCTGAGCACAGGCTTATATCTGTCACTGTAGCCCTATTTATTGTCTGTTTGCATTATTATTATTATTATTATTATTATTTATTATTGACAGGTTTTCACTAGGTAGACCTGGCTGGCCTTGAACACTTCAGTCTTTCCTTCTGATGTGAGCCACCACAACCTACTGGTTACTGTTGCTGGAGTTTTCTGTTCCGCCAGGTCCCACTGCCGCTTCAGCCCCAAATAAGCACACAGAGACATATATTAATTTATAAACTGTTGGTCAATAGCTAGGGCTTCTTATTGGCTAGCTCTGTCATAAATATAAACCCATTTCTATTAATCTAAATATTTCCATGTGGTCTTATCTTACTGGAGAATGGTCTAGACCTGTTACTCCTTCCTTGGCTACATGGTGTCTCTCTCTGCCTACCTTTCCCAGAATTCTCCTCGTCTCCTAGTCCCACCTATCTTCCTGCCTTTATTGGCCAAACAGTGTTTTATTCATCAACCAATAACAGGAACATGTATACAGAAGGACATCCCCCATCAGGTTACTATTATCATGATTACGATTATGATTTTAGACAGGCTTTCACTGTGTATGTAGACAGGCTGGCCTTGAACACTGGTGACCTTCCTGCTGGTGTGAGCCACCCCCACCCACTGCTCTCCTTCACTGATCTCTGCTGTTCTTGAATTTGCTTTTCCTCCAGCAAGCCATCTCCCTTGTTTCTCTTTATAACGTTGTGATCTCTTCTTCCCTTTATCTGTCTTTTAAAAATATTTTCAAATTTTATTACTTCATGTGTATGTGTTTGTCTACATGCCTGTTTGTGCACCACATGTATACCTGGTGCCCATAGAGGCCAGAAAGAGAGTCTCAATTCCCTAACTGGGGCTAAAGATGGCGTGAGACAGCGTCTGGATGCTGAGAATTGAATCTGGGTCTTCTGGAAGTACAATTAGTGCTTTTAACTACCAAGCAATCTCTCTGTTTTATCTGTCTTAAAATACAGCTAGCCATTTTATTTGTTTGTTTGTTTTTATTTATTTTGAGACAGAGTTTCTCTACATAGTCCTGGCTGTTGTGGAACTCACTATGTAGAACAGGCTGGCCTTGAACTCACAAAGACTGGCCTGCCTCTGCTTTCTGAGGGCTGGGATTAAAGACACATGTCTTTTTAGTCTTTGCTCTTCCTATGTATTCTCCCCCTCTGTTTTCCCACCAGCATAAGTAAGATCAGGAAACAAGACAGGGTTAGTGAGCCACACACCAGAAAGCAAGACATCTAAGGCTAAATCATTGCTCCTTTCTGGAAATTCCCCAATCTATTATTCCTGTACTTAGTAGTTACAAGTGTAAAGACTCGTGCAGTTTTAATGTTAATAAACTATTTATTTCAAAATGCTGTACCATTGTATTTTGTCTTAAAGGGTTTTTAAACCTTAAGATACACTGTTAAGGAGTAGGTTTGAAAGGCTTCATTTTATTCTCTAGTTATATGTAATTTATATTCACAGTAACTTAACATCACCAATGTTTAAAAGCAGGAAGTTATTTTAATACTTCCTTTCCCCTTCTCACTAGCTGAGAAATCTTCAAAGCAAACTTTTAATAAAAGAAACTTCATTGCAAGAAATGAAGACTGAGTTACAGAGTTACAAAGAAAGTAACGCCCAGCAGTCGCTACAGATAATGTCCCTGAGAGATGACATCAAGAACCTTCAGGACCTCATTGCTTCTCTGATGAAAATTAAGGTTTTGAAAAACACAAATTCTCAGAATCTTGGAAGAGGCAGCTGGGACCTAACTGAGAGAGTTATAGACCTAGAGAACCGCCTAAGGTAGGGATTTCCTGGTCTGTTTTCCAACACACCGTTTGCCACATGTTTTCAAGTCATATACAAACCCATGTTCCTGATCAGATTGGGTGTTCTGGTTAGGTTTTTTTTTTTTTTCTCCAATTTGATAAAAGGGTATAATTTGGGAAAAGGGGACATCTGTTACACAGAGAAACCATGTCTCAAACACACACACACACACACACACACACACACACACACACACACACACACACACACACGGGTGCGCATATGTTTAGTCATCATATTGAAAACTGGTCCAGCTGGTTTCATTGCATTGTTGACCATTTGGTGGTGTCCTATGCAGAGAACATCTGGTGGAAAGAGAGAAGTCAGGGCGGAAGGCAGACCTGGAGAAAAGGTGGCCCTGCTCCGGCAGATTCTCTCCCTGTATGAATCTGAAAGAACCAGAAAATTCCTTGGATATTTTCCCTGTGAAGGTGAGGGTGAGTTTTGACTGTTCCCCCAGGAAAGAAGGGGAAGTGTTGGGTGGGGTGCCAGTTCTCTTGTGAATGAAAAACCCAAAGAAGCATGATAGACCATAAGTCAGTGGGGGAGGGACTACACTAAGGACTGGAAGGTGAGGTTACAGAAAGATTTGGAGGGGAGGAAGGGAGCCAAGAAACTACTGGGGCAGTGGGGGAAGGTAGGGATGATGAGGAAGTGAGATTCCAGAACTGACCATTTCTTATTATTGACTGAACACACTGGTCTTTGTGTCTCTGGATGTAAAGGACCAGGCACAGGTACTGTTGTGCCCAGACTCTGAACTCCCAAAGCCACCAAGAGATCAGATCCAATGCAAAAGCAGAGAGTCTTTTTAATTAACAAGTTAACTGGAGTTAACTTGGGCCCCCCATCCGTCTGACACAGCGGGTGGAGCAGGAGGACCTCGAGCAGCAGGGCATATATTGGGGTAGAGCAAGGGGAGTGTCTGGGGGAGGGGGTCCGCTAGTTGCATAGCAATAATCTCAGGATTGGTGCACCTCCAGGCTTGGACAACTTGTCCTGAGGGTCAGCTGCAGCTGCAGAAAGGTTGCTGTACCTAGAGGCCCTCCCAGGGCAGTTGCTAAGCTCTGCATTCCACTATTACCAGTAAAGCCCATCCAGAGCTGTCCAGCTAACTTCTGATTGGTTCCTTGCCACATGGAGGGTATCTGGCTTCCTAGTGATAAGGGCAAGGTCAGGCAAGGTTGGGGGCTCAGCACACTGCTGAGTCAGGAGCCTATGTCTTGCTGGGTCTTTTCTGCAGCCTGTCATGGCTGCCAAAGCAGGGGGCTGGGTGAGGGCCTGGACCTTTCACTACCACAAGCCAGGGTGTTGTTGGGTCATCAGTTTGTGTTGTTAGACCCCCGGAAAACTCAGGTATCCGGGGTCCCAGGCCACGACCACGGTCACCCCAATCACCAGGTGGATTCGAGAGCTTGCTGCAAACTGCATGAGGCTTTATTGTTTGTTTGTTTTTTAATGAGCTAACCCCATGTTAGCTCGGGTCTTTCACCCACCCGCCATGGCGGATGGCTTGCAAAAGACAACTCCTAGGGCCTCCCGAGAGATCTTGTAGGGCAGCGTAAGGGGAGTGTCTAGGGGTACTCACAGGCTCACGATTGGTGTGCCTCCAGGCCTGGAGGGCTTGCCCTGTGTTGATTGGTCAACTGGTTGTTATGGCCCATAGGCCCTCCCAGGGTGGTTGCTATGTCATTGCTGTGTGCTTGTCCTAAAGTACACCCAGGGTCGTAAAGTATAGCGCCACCAGCTAACTTCTGATTGGTTCCTTGTCATGAAGCAGGCGTCTGACCCCTAAGTGACCAAGGCAAGGTTACTGTCATGGCTGCCGAAATGGGGAGCTGGTCCCTTCAGTGTGCCACACACACATTCAGCAACTACTTTCAAAATAATTCCAATTTTTATTTGCATCTCAAGTAATTGGGTTTGTGACTTTCCTCCCTTTGAGCTTTTGTTACAGAGCTCTCATTTCTGAAAAAAATTAAAAAACAAAACAAAACAAAACAAAAGAACCCTCCAAGAATTGGAACCCACAAAGTTCTGGCTTTTCTTCCCTGCTCTTTTCCCTCCAGGGTTTTAGTGATACAAACTCATCGTTACTTCCATTCTTGATGTTGCTTTCCCTGTCCCTCAACTTCACCTAAAGACAACAAAAACCCCCACAACTGAACTTGCTGACTCAGCTGGTGGGCTTCTCCCATGGGAAGAGCTTAGCAGGGCTGGAGGCATGGCTCAGCTGGTAAAATCTCTTAATGAAAAACTGTTGTCCAATCCTCAGCCTCAATGGTGGAAGGAAAGAACCAAGGCCTCTATACTTGCACCATGGCATGCTGTTTGCACTCACACACACACCATATGCATACAACAAGGAATATTTTTTTAACAGCAACAACAACAACAAAAAACACCTCAGGGTTATCTTTCTTTCTCGTCATAATTATAATACTAGGAGTCTAGGAGGAAGAGCTATGACTTCTTTCATTTACATTATTAAGATTGTTATAATTGATAAGCATGACTTTTTTTCTTGCAGTATTAGAGATTGAATTTAGGACTCTAGAATGCTAGGCAAGCACTCTACCACTGAGTTATACTTTCAGCTCCACTCGAGTATAACGGTTATGAAAACATCTGTTCCCTTGATAACTCTTTTTTTGTTTGTTTGTTTTTTATTTTTTCGAGACAGGGTTTCTCTGTGGCTTTAGAGTCTATCCTGGCACTAGCTCTTGTAGACCAGGCTGGTCTCGAACTCACAGATCCTCTGCCTCTGCCTCCCAAGTGCTGGGATTAAAGGCGTGCACCACCAACACCCGGCTCCCTTGATAGCTCTTTACATAATAGCGTCAGTATTCATTGGTGACCCTTGCCCAAATCAGTTATTTCATTAGGAGTTACAAATGAAGATTTTCTTTTGTCGTGGTGGCATGCATCTGTAATCCCAGCACTAGGGAAGGCTGGCTATGGTATTTCATATGAGTACCATGGTATATGCCACCTCTCTCATGATGATAAATAAAATAATCAAAACTAATAAAATAAGATGAAAACTTTTAAATTCATTCTGCAGCTTGAGCTGGAATACACTGTGGAGTTTGCCCTTATCAACAAGGCCTTTGGGCTGGCTGTTTCAGTTCCTACTTTTTGCTCTTATCATCCCTCCTTTTAAATCTATGCCTTGTTTCTTATGTGACTCTAATGTTTCTTTTTTTTTCTCTCTCTCTCTTTTTTTTTGTTTTCCAAGGCAGTTTTTCTTTTTGTAGCCCTGGTTTTCCTGGAACTTTTTTATATAGACTAACTAGGCTAGCTTCAAACTCACAGCTTTTTGTTTTGTTTTGTTTTTGTTTTTGTTTTTCAAGACAGGCTTTTTCTGTGTAATAGCCCTGGCTGTCCTGGAACTCACTCTGCAGACCTGGCTGGCTGCCTCAAACTCAGAAAGATCCACCTGCCTCTCAAGAGCTGGAATTAAAGGTGTGTGCTACCACCACCCAGCTAAACTCATGACTCTTAATGTTTATAATGAAGGGTGTTTTCCGCTAAGGTTTTGTATTGTTACTATATTCATAGTTCATAGGAAGGGACAAAGATATGTCCATATATGTTTCAGATGAGAATTTTAACCCTGTGTTGGTACATTTAGGACAAAGGTGAAGCCTCCATCTTTGAGAGAGACATTGTTTACTCTGAAGGACCAATTGATGGGCAAAACATTGGTGGTAAATGTCAACAAGATTTGATCCACAAAGAAAAACTAATATCTGGGTTCAACAGACCCCCATATTCCTGCAGCTGGGAAACCACTGAGCAATCCCGTCACCAGGATTTCCTTGGTCAGTTGGCTACTCTTTTGAGTGACAGCATTGGCCCTATACTAGCCACAGAGGAGGCAGTGAAAGAGAGGATCCAGGAGATAGGTGCAAATGAACAGTTGTGGAAATCTGTAAGTATACTGTCAAAAAGATTATTCTTTCCAATTTAATTCGTGTGTGTGTGTGTGTGTGTGTGTGTGTGTGTGTGTGTGTGTGTGTACCTATGCATGAGGATATGCATGCATATGTGTGTGGATGCTTGTGGAAGTCAGAGGTTGACCCTGGGTGTGTTCACTGAAGCTCATTGATTTGACCACTCTGGCTGGCCAGTGGGCTCTAGGGATCTGCTCCCCCTCCCCCAACCCACTTGAATTACAGATGTGCACCAAGCTTTTTATGAGTGGTGAGTATTCAAACTTGGGTCCTCATGCTGGTACAGCAAACACTTTACCATCTGAGCCATCTCTTACTTTCCCCAAGTTTTATTAGTTTAATATGTAGATTTTGATATTAGCCAATTATTAAGATCTTTGGTTTCATTGCAACCACCAGCCAGCAGAGTTATGATCCTCAGGAAGCAAGAAGGTAGTTCAGTTCAACATGACTTGGTTGCAAGTGTTGGCTGAGAGTCTGACCCCGAGCAGTTTATTTATTTTTTATTTTTTATTTTTATTTTTTGGTTTTTTGAGACAGGGTTTCTCTGTGGCTTTGGAGGCTGTCCTGGAACTAGCTCTTGTAGACCAGGCTGGTCTCGAACTCACAGAGATCCACCTGCCTCTGCCTCTGGAGTGCTGGGATTAAAGGCGTGTGCCACCAACGCCCGGCCCGAGCAGTTTATTTTAAGCATATTTAAGCACGGCACAGTTTGGAGGAAAACTTTCCCGATGATAAGTAACTCAATCCCTTGTGCACAATAAACCTTAAGAAATGACTCCATCAAAAATCTTTGTAGAGTACATGTGACATTTTTCATAAAGATGGGTTCTATAGATTGACAAACTCATGATAAAGGTCTGGGGGTAGATCCGGTATGGTCATCTTGGCTACATAGATAACACAGAGGTCACCAGGCTATTAATCATATCCTCTCCAGGCTTCTGTCCTGAAAACAGGTTCTACATCCCTCCCTTTGAAGAGACAACCCCGTGAGTTTAACATTCCTGGTTCCCCTAGTGCTCATCTGTGAGCACAGGGACCTCTCTGTGCCTCCCACACCTGACCTGGGTGTTGGGTGCTGAGCCATTTCTCCAGCTCGTCATTATAATTTTGATTGCATTTTTATTACTAGGTGGAAAAAGAGAACAAGCTGTCCTTAACTGTATTGGAGACACTAGAGCTTGGTTAGGGCACAGAGCCCTGCTATGACCCCAAGCTCCACCATCTGCCAGCGGTGTGTTCTTGGGCAGGTTACTTATCTTCCCTGTGTTTTAGTTTCATTTGTGAATTGAAGTGAAGAGCTGTCATTCCTACTTTCAGTATGGTTGGAAAAATTAAATGAGTTAATCGATGATAAATGTTTAGAGTAGTTTAGCCTAAGATCAATACATATTAACTTAATAGTACTGTACTAGCTGGCCATAACACCATATGCCTATAATCCCAGGTTTTGAGAGACTGAGGGTAATATTGTGAGTTCCAGGGCAGCCTGGGCTACATAGCAAGACCCTGTCACAAAGAACAGCAACAAAATCATTATGCAACTTTATTTCTCACTATGAATACATCTTATCTTTGTATATCAATGTTTTTCTACTTATTTCTTAAAACAATAAATATATCCAGATGTATGATCTAGAACTGTAATACTAGTATGTGGAACACTGAGGCAGGAGAAATGCTGTGAGTTCCATTTTGTCGTGGTTGACAAGAATAAGAATCTGTCTCAAAAATCCAAACAACCGGTGGTGTCGAGAGGACTCAGAGACTAGGAGTACTTGCTGCTCTAGCAGAGGACCTAGGTTCAATTCCTAGCACCCAATGGTGGCTCACAACCATCTGTAACTCCAGTTCCAAGAGATCTGATACCACTCTGGTCTCCTTGGACACTGGACATGTGTGATGCACATACTTACATGTAGGCAGAACACCCATACACACCACAAAAAAGTACATGTCAAATTTACTCATCTTTCCAGTAATTCAGTGTCACCTGGGTGTCTGTAGAAATGGAACTTGTATGTGGTTGGGAATGGCATGGGGGAACATGGAGCACTGGGAATGTTTATTTAATGTTGTGTCTTGCAGAAAACTGAAGCCCTGCAGCAGGAAATTCAGACACTCACAAAGAAACTGGAGCAGTTGTACCTCCTTTATGAAGAAGCTGCTGAAAGGTCTCCTCATACTGAAGCAAGTTATACGGGACAGAAAAGGCCCTTGCAGCATCTGGAAGGACAGGCTGCTGTCAACTCCATTCTTTTAGACATGGGCAGGAAGAAAGTAGGAGTTTCCTGAGGTTCTTTGGGAATGGTCACATTTTGTTTTACTTTATCAATAGCTTTAACATGACTAAAGCTTCTTATGCTATTTTTTTTAAAGATTTTATTTATTTATTATGTATACAGTCTTCTGCCTGCATGCCAGCAGAGGGCACCAGATCTCATTCAAGGTGGTTATGAGCCACCATGTGGTTGCTGGGAATTGAACTCAGGACCTCTGGAAGAACAGTCAGTGCTCTTAACTGCTGAGCCATCTCTCCAGCCCTGCTTATGCTATTTATATCTTTCTATTTTTGGTGTGTGTGTGTGTGTGTGTGTGTGTGTGTGTGTGTGTGTGTGTGTTAGCATCTTACTGTGTATTCCTGGATGTACTCAAACTTGCAGCATCCTCACCTCAGCCTCCCAAGTCTAGGATCACAGCTGTGCGCCACATCTGGCTTACACTTTTCTTGAGGAAAAAAGAAGCCTCTCATCTTTCTTTATCTCCTTTTGTCTATTGTGCATATATTTGATAAGTATTATGATGGCACTTGTTAATATGACTCTTATTTTTAATAGGTTGTTTTTTGGACAGGGTTTAGTTTAACAATATAATGTAGTCCAGGCTAGACTAAAACTCTCAGTGTAGTCAAGACTAACCTTAAATTTATGGTTCCTCTGCCTCTGTCTCCATAGTCTAGTTGAAATAAGAGACATGTACCAACTCCTCTGGCTGATACATATCTTAATTCACTTTATTTTTATTTTTTATTTTTTGTTTTTTTTGAGACAGAGTTTCTCTGTGTAGCTTTGGAGCCTATCCTGGCACTCCCTCTGGAGACCAGGCTGGCCTCGAACTCACAGAGATCCGCCTGCCTCTGCCTCCGGAGTGCTGGGATTAAAGGTGTGCGCCACCAACGCCCGGCTATTTTTATTTTTTAAATTGCAGTTTCTTTAAATTAATTTATTTTTATTTTATGTGCATTGGTGTTCTGCCATGGATGTCAGGTCCCCTGGAACTGGAACTGCAGACAATTGTGAGCTGTCATGTGGGTGCTGGGAATTGAACCCAGGTCCTTTAAAGAGCAGTCAGTGCTCTTAACCACTGAGCCATCTCTCCAGCCCCCTTAGTTCACTTTTAAATGGGATGAACAGGAAATGTATTTAAAGGAGTGGCTCTTTTAAATTCTAGTGGTGGAATTCAAGGTATTGTGACAGATGCCATGATGCCATGATCTGTAAGGAGTCATTGATAACATTCCTCAGTCATTCTTGTGTAAGCCATCAACCTTCTCTTCTTCCTGATTCCATGAGGGAAGAGGCAAACCAAAAGGACAGGAATGGCTACAATTTATTTCCAGGACTTTGTGCTTCCATTTTGACACCTCTTCGCAGAATTATGTGCCGTGTCCTAACCTACACCACACTCTTCTAGAATGATGTGGCTGGAAGTGCAATCTCACTTACACACTCACCAAAGACTAAGCTGGTCTTCCAGCCTGCTCATCTACCAGTATGTGTTTGTGTTGTTTCCTCTGACTTGCTGGACATCAGAATCTTATCATGTGGCCTTGGCTGACCTCCCAAGTGCTGAGACCAGTCAGTATTTTTTTTTTGAGTAGTTTTTCTTTTGTTTGTTTGTTTTTTTAGGAAAAAAAAACAAAAGAACCTCTGTCATTGAGGCTGAAGAGATGCCTCAACAGTTTAGTGTACTTATGGGTTTTTTTGTTTTTTGTTTTTTGAGACAGGATTTCTCTGTGGCTTTTGAGACTGTCCTGGAACTAGCTCTTGCAGACCAGGGTGGTCTCGAACTCACAGAGATCCATCTGCCTCTGCCTCTGCCTCCCGAGTGCTGGGATTAAAGGTGTGCGCCACCACTGTCCAGCTAACACTTGTTTTTACAGAGGACCTGGCTTTGGTTCCCAGAGCCCACATTGTGGCTCACACCATCTGGAACTCCAGTTCTAGGGGATTCAGTGCCTTATTCTGACCTCAAGTACCAGGCATGTCCATGGTACACATACATGAATGTAAGAAAAACACTCCATCATTCTGAAATAACATTTGTTTTTGCCTTTTGAGACAAGGTTTCACTATGTAACTTGATAGGGAGACCAGGCCAGCCTTGAACTCACAGAGATCTACCTGCCTTTCTAACCTCATGTGCCACCATGCCAAGAATCACTCTGAAATGATGTAAAAAAAAATGTGCCTCATAGCATTCAAGCTTGAGCATACCTTCTGTGTCCACTTTTGAACAACAATCATTTATATCTAAAAATAGGTTAAATTTTAAGAAAACAATTGATTAAATTTTTTTTCATTTATTTATTATGAATACAACATTCTGCTTCCATGTATATCTGCACACCAGAAGAGGGCACCATTATCTCATAACGGATGGTTGTGAGCCACCATGTGGTTGCTGGGAATTGAACTCAGGACCTCTGGAAGAGCAGCCTATGCTCTTAACCTCTGAGCCATCTCTCCAGCCCCAATTGATTAAATTTTAAGAAAACAAATAGCACATCATTTCCACCATCCTTTCTCCCCACCAGCTGCACCTTTTATTTATTACCAAACCATTGGAAATCCATTTAAGAACGGAGCCTTGCAATAATGAAAACCAGGATACAGTTAAGAACAATGGTAAAACCCCACCCCTTCCCACCTGTCATGGCACTAACAGATCTGCAGCTTGATATCCCAGTCTCCAGGCCAGCAAGCTTTTCCCCAGCAAGGCTCCTGTCCCCATGTTGAAGGCATGGCCAAGCCCGTCATCTGAACAATGGGTCCTGGACAGCCCTCCACCTTTGATGAAGTATCTTGAGGCCCACCAGACAGGACTCTGCAGGCCCCTGGCCAGGCTCTGGCTGGATTTTGTTTGATCCAGAGATTGCAAGCCTGAGACACAATGAGAACCATTGCAAAAGTCCTTAAAATTTCCACTTCTGAATATACAGGACCATGTCATTTGTGTCCTTTCTAATTGTTAAATAAACCATGTAGGTATCCTGGAAGCCTGCCATCAGTTCATTCTACAAACCAAACAATCCATTGAACAGTCATTCTCCAAACCAAACAATCCGTTAAAGACCCATAACTCCAGGTGGATGGACAGAAAAGCCACAGGATCAACAAAAGCTGGAACTAGCCTCAGGTCTATTGGGGTCCTACCATCCTTTTAAAAGGGCTCAGGAAAACAGTAATAACTGTCCCACTCCTCTTTCTGCCTCTGTCATTCCAGGAACCAATTATTTAGGCACACATCTTTCAGAGACATTGCTGTGGTGCCTTACCATTGCAATAAAGTGAACATCACAACCAATTGAGTCTGGTGACATTTTCTGTTTGTTTGTTACTCAGTGCATATAAAAATTCCTAATGACATTATATTGTAGTCTATTATGTTTTCATTATATATAACATATATGTCAAAACAAACTTGTAAATTGTTCTTTAGAAAGATAAAAT